ACAAAATTTCGCGCGAAGGTACTTACAGTAGTGTTAGTCATCAGTGATCAACCTTTCATTAGTTTACTTGGTACTTCTAAAGAAAAATCAAAACAAACAATTAAAATTGTTATTACATAAAATATAGACCAACTTTAATCTTAAAAATGGCTTCACCAGTAGAAATTCCACTTCGTGAAGGCGATGAGGTATAAGTTTGAAACCGAATTGCCATTGCAAGCTTAAAATATTACTTTCAAGAGCAATTTTTAAGAAATAAACTTATGTTGTAAAATAAATTTGATTTAAAGTATATTGTTGAATTAAATTCAAATACTTCATAATAAGACAACATAATAATGAGATTTCACACTATATAACCGTGCGGCTTGGCTTATTTCGGATGAATAATTGGGAACTTAATATTTGAGGTTATAATTTTACAATTTTTGTGTTGTAGGTAATTGAGCTGGATCCGGAAAATTTACCGGAAGGAGATGAAGTCTTGAATATTCTGCGAAATGAAAGATCAGCATTAAGTGTCTGGATTAATGTTGCTATTGAATATTATAAACAAGGCCAAAAGAAAGTTTTTCTCGAGCTATTGGAAATCGCTCGTATTGAAGCAACCGGAAAAGATGAACAAGATCTCATGCGACTTATTGACAGTCTCGGTGCTTATTATGTTCAAGAGGCAAATCATGAAAAAGTCAAGGATAAAAAGAGAGAATTATTTACAAGAGCAACTCAACTTTATGCAACTGGTGACAAGATCATCATGTACGACCAGAATCACTTGTTGGGTCGCGCCTATTTCTGTCTTTTGGAAGGTGATAAAATGGAACAAGCAGACAATCAGTTCAACTTTGTTCTGAATCAATCACCCAGCAACATCCCAGCCATTCTTGGTAAAGCTTGTATATCGTTTAATAAGAAAGATTATCGTGGAGCTCTAGCGTTCTATAAAAGAGCGTTGCGTACAAATCCTAAATGTCCAGGCGTTGTTCGTCTGGGAATGGGACATTGCTTCTTAAAACTCAACAATCCAGAAAAAGCAAAACTAGCATTTCAACGTGCCGTCGATTTAGATCCACAATGTGTCGGAGCTCTCGTTGGACTCGCAATTCTAAAATTAAATCTTCATGAGCCCGATTCTAATCGCTGGGGAGTTCAAATGCTCTCAAAAGCTTACACTTATGATCCAACAAATCCAATGGTATTAAATCATCTTGCAAATCATTTCTTTTTCAAGAAAGATTATGACAAAGTACATCATTTGGCACTTCATGCATTTCACAACACTGAAAATGAAGCGATGCGTGCTGAGAGTTGTTATCAAATGGCTCGAGCTTTTCATGCACAACGTGACTTTGATCAAGCTTTTCAATATTATTATCAATCGACACAATTCGCACCCAATAACTTTGTTTTGCCTCATTATGGCTTAGGTCAAATGTACATTTATCGAGGCGACAGTGAAAATGCTGGTAAGTTGAGAAATTCGTAATTTCCTTTTATTAAAATGTTTAAAATTAAATTATAAACTTTGTAGCACAATGTTTCGAGAAAGTTCTTAAAGTTCAACCGGGAAATTACGAAACGATGAAGATTCTCGGGTCACTTTATGCTAATTCAAGTTCACAAACAAAACGCGACACAGCAAAAAGTCATTTGAAGAAAGTCACCGAACAATTTCCTGATGATGTTGAAGCTTGGATTGAATTAGCACAAATTCTTGAACAAAATGACTTGCAAGGTTCTTTGGCAGCTTATGGACAAGCAACGAAAATATTGACTGAACATATTAATACTGATGTTCCACCTGAAATTTGGAATAATATCGCAGCTTTAAGTTATCGAATGGGAAATTTAACAGAAGCAAAGAATAAGTTGGAAATGGCACTTGAACGTGCAAGAATCGAAGCTGAACATGATTCGCAATATTATGATTCAATTTCTGTCACAATGACGTACAATTTAGCGCGACTTTATGAAGAAATGTGTGAATTTGATCGAGCTGATAAACTCTACAAAGACATTTTAAAAGAGCATCCAAATTATGTCGATTGTTATCTTCGAATTGGTTGCATGGCTCGGGACAAAGGTCTCATTTTTGTTGCATCAGATTACTTCAAAGATGCTCAGAAAATCAACATGAATCATCCAGATACTCGTTCACTTTTGGGAAATCTGCATTTGGCGAAGATGCAATGGACTCTTGCTGAGAAGAATTTCGATGCTGTTATGAAACAACGTCAAGACTCATACGCTTTGATAGCTCGAGGAAATTATTTCCTACAATGCGCCCATCAACCTAACAGAGACAAAAACAAAGATAAACAAAATCTACAAATGGCTTTGAAAACATTTACAGAAGTTAATCGATTAGATCCAAAGAATATTTGGGCTGCTAATGGAATCGGTTCAGTTCTTGCCCATAAAGGATATTTCATTGAAGCTCGTGACATCTTTGCACAAGTTCGTGAAGCGACCGCTGATTTCTCTGATGTTTGGCTCAACATTGCTCACATTTATGTCGAACAGAAGCAATACATCAGCGCCATTCAAATGTATGAGAATTGCCTGAAGAAGTTCTTTAAACACAACAACGTTGAAGTGATGCAGTATTTGGCTCGAGCATATTTCCGTGCTGGTAAATTAAATGAAGCGAAAACAGTTTTACTTAAAGCTCGTCGTGTTGCACCACATGATACGGTTTTATTATTCAACATCGCTCTTGTGTTACAACGCCTTGCAATGCAAATTCTGAAGGACGAAAAATCTGTTTTAACGGAAGTCCTGCAGGCTGTTCACGAACTTGGATTGGCACACAAATATTTTACATATTTAAATGTTCATGGTGATAAAACTCGCTTCAATATCGCTGTTGCAGGAACAGAAGCTGGTCAATGTCAAGATTTATTATCCCAAGCTCAATATCACGTTGCGCGTGCACGAAGAATTGACGAAGAAGAGAAATCGATGAGATTGAAGCAAGAACTGGAGCGATCAGCATTCAAACAGAAGCAGGAAGAAGAGCGTCGTCGAATAGAGGAAGAACGTCATCGAACAATGGAAGAAATGCTGAAGAAACGTGAAGAATATAAAGAGAAGACGAAGGGCGCACTCATCATTGAAATGCCGGAAGACATGCCAAAGAAACGAGGTCGTGGCAGACGAGATTCAATTATTGATTCAGGAGATGACAGTGATGGTCAACGGCCTGAAGGTGGCGAACCAAGTCAACATTCGTCAAAGAAACGTCGTAAAGAGCATTCAAAGAAATCTCATGGAAAACGAAATCGACGTGAAAAACGTAAAAACGAAAATGCTGGTTCAGAAAGTGAAGATGGAGCTCCAAGTAGAAAAAGAAATCGCGGGCGTCCAACAGTTACAAGAGTTAAGAGAAGTGATGGACCGAAGCAGAATTCAAGAATCATTTCGAAAGCGACAATATCAACAAGTGAGTCTGAGAGTGACACAAGTACACGAAATAAAGTCACAAAGAAACGTTCGCCATCAACAGCAAGATCTTCACGTTCAAGGTGAGATTTTCAATTTAAATTTGAATAAAATTATTTAATTTTTCCATTTTCAATAGATCCCGTTCAGGGTCAGGTTCACGATCTGGTTCTGGTTCTAGAAGTCGTAGCCGAAGTGGTTCAGGTTCGCGTTCTCGATCTCGTAGTGGATCGAAACGATCAAAATCAGGCAGTCGCTCAGTGTCACGATCAAGAAGTCGAAGTCGAAGTGGATCACGAAGTGGTTCTGGTAAGAAAGTTTTTATTGTTTAATTGAACTTATTTCATTCTTATAAGAACATTTTTCCAATAAGCTCGCTCACGTTCAGGAAGCCGAAGCAAATCTGGATCTCGAAGTCGAAGTGGAAGTCGCTCAAATCGTTCACGAAGTGGATCTGGTAAGAATACAATTAGAAATTTTAATTTCCCTTCATTCTAATCTTTAATTCCTTCACAGCTCATTCACGTTCTCGTTCACGTTCAAAATCTGGCAGTCGCAGTCGAAGTCGAAGTGGATCAAATGCGTCACGTCGCAGTGGCAGCAAATCGAAATCAAGAAGCGTATCAAGATCAAGAAGGGGTTCAAGATCACACAGTCCATCAAAAACACCAACATCAGAATAAACTTTCCTTTCTTTCACATAATTTCTTGATTATCCTTAAGAATGTTGACGATTTTCTTTTCTGGATTTGACTAATTATCATCAGATAAATAAAGAAAAAGAAGTAAATAAATTCAAATCGGAAACTTCATAAAACTTATTCCACCAAATCACGCAATCACTTTTATTTGTTTTCAGTTGATTTCTTGTTATGTTTCGCCACATTCTACGAATTAATCAATTTTTCCTCATAAGTAAATGAATGTTATATGAAGTCTGATGACTCGTCATTAGCTAAAGAGTCTCTTGACATTAATCTAACAGGGAGCAGATGAAAGAATGGTCTCTTAAGTCAGAAGTCTATGTAATTACCATGACATCGATATGGCCCTTTAGTCAAAGCTCATTCTTGCGCCCCTTCACTTCATTAATGCTTAGTTACTTCATTAATTTTATAGCACTCGAAAATGTCCCTGCGTTGTGTTCGCTTGCTGGCTCAGCATAAAAAAGAATGTCACATCGAGTATCCCTAGTTAAATAAACATAAACATATAATTTTTTTCATGAGAATTTACGTTAAGCTCAACATAAAAATATTTATTCAAAAGCAAATCAGAAAAAATGATGAAAGGAAGAGAGAAAGAGAAACAAGCAAACAAGGAGAAATCACGCACAGTAGTTAAATATCAAACGCATCGGGATTTAATCTTATTAACGTTAATCAAATCTGAAAAGCGTTTACATTAAATTAAAATTTCATTTGGATGTAACTAGCAATTAACTAGACAGAATGTGAAAGCAACTGTAACAAATTTTCATTCAACGAAACCTGACAAGATAGAAGTGCAAGGGCTTCCTGATGGAAATGATTGTAATTAGAATGAACGGCAAGCGTTGAAGAACCACAAAACTCTTACATATATGCCATTAACTGAAAATTTTTAGCAAACATTAAGTTGAAGTGGTTGTTAGTGACAGGAGATATCTGAATTAATTTTTTTTTCTTCTTCTCTGCTTTATTTTGATGTTTCATTGAGACTGACAAGGTGGAAAGAATAGTTTTGAAAATGTAGTGAGCGGTGAGCCTTTCATAAATATATAATTGAAAGAGATTATATCGTGAATGTTGTAAAGGATTTAGGACACAAAAATAGGTTTTTCTATGACATGTTTATTGAATGTTTAATCAAAACCTTCCTACACATGAAACTAATCCAATATTCTGAACAGAAGAAAACAAAAATCTCATTCTGAATTCTTCCACCTTAATTATTAAGCAGATCTTTTTATATATTCATCTGCGGTTGTAATAAATTAAGGAAATTTAATGGGGCAAAATCTACCGAATCAACCAAAAAACAAAAATTATTTTGCCAAAAAATTTGCTACTTTTCCTTCTCTCGAAAACTAACAAAATCACTTTAAGAGATTGAAGATAAATTATTTAATTTTATTGCGTAAACAACAGAAACTTTTCGGCCAGAAAATATTTGTCGGCAAAGTTAGTTTATCGTCGCCTTTATGTCTGGAGCAGAAAATTGCATTCATGAGACATTTCATTGAAGTGAACATAAGAAAATCTCAAGAGACATTGACAAAGAAACGTGTACATGACATTCAAGGACTTTCTGTTTCTTGTCATTCATTCATTCATTCATTGAATAGCTTACGAAGATTTTAGAGAAGAAATAATTGCAACATAAAAGACATTTTTTGAGGGCTTACAAAAGTTGCAATTTTGTGCAATAAAAAAATTAAGAAGAGACAGAAGCACCATGCCGAGTGATTAATAGATCTTCATCTTCTTTACCAATTTCAATTGCAATATTTTCACAATTACCGGTGATATTTTAAGGGGATTTTCGATGTTACTTTCAATTGTTTGTCGATTCTTTATCACCTTGGAATTGTTCAAGTGCTTTCAAAGAACACTTTTTGGTTTTCTGAAGAATTTGTGGAGTCATGCGGTGATGATGCTCGACTTTCTATATGATGGCTTTAACTGCAAAACACTGTCGATGTTAGTTATGCATTCTTGTTTTCATGAATATTCTTATTGTTGCACAAGAGATGACAAATAAAAGTTTTTCGTGCTTATTTATGTCGTCAGAATGTTTACCCATTATTGAGTGTGGGAAAACTTCTCCAACTCAAATTCTTTCTTTTTTTTTAAAGGAGAAGCCTTGTGCTTTGCATATCTGATCTGACTGATTAATCGACTACTCAAGCAAAAAGAGAATGCTTTGCATAAATCAAAAAGACTACATCATCTTCAGATTATTCATTACGATGAGGAATCAGCAGAAAGTTGTGTCGAAAACATAAAAATCTAGTCGTTGAAGATAAAAGCCCAAAACAAAAAAAAACCCGAAATTAAATTCATGATTTGTAAAAAAATTCCATCCATGTTTAGATTGTCATTTTTTTTATTTAAAACCACATAATGAATGAAAAGATTATAACATGGAAAGTCACATTTCTTGCTTCTGCCCGATAATAAAGGATATGACAATGCAAAAAATAAAAATAAAAAAGAGAAACCACATAAAATGCTGATCCATAAGCCGATGAGAGAAGAATGCAGAAAATAAAACGAACAAATCCGATGTTCTGACTTTCATTATGATGCGAAAGGATTTTAATGACATTCCTGACGACAAAATGAAATTGTTTGCGGATGCAAAAAAATGAGAATCTTTTGATAATTTCAACTTCCTGTCGAACGAACAGTCGAGTTGTCGATGATTATTCTCGGGTAGAGATGAGAGTGGAAGAAAGCATGAAAGACGGAGAAACATTAAAGACATAAATGGTTTTAATGCAAATCTTTTTATGCTTGAATAGTTTTGTTCTGGTTCAACCGAGAAATGTCTTAGAAAGGATTTGGAAAATGAGTTACTTTAAGAATAAATTGGCATTGTACCTACAAGTTTAACTTGTTATTATTCGGCTGATTCAAAGCGTTCATAATTTGCATAGAGACAGCTTCCAGTTTAAATTATGAGATTAATCTGAAGTGTTTATGGCTCGCTGAATCTTTAATCATACCACAATTTACATATTTTACTTGGTGATATTTTCTGCGTTGTTTACCACAAAATAATTTTCGCACAGCATCATAATTTCTATTAGAATAGATAATTTTTATGCAAGATAAGATGTGAAAGCAACTGAGATAAATCAATAAATAAATTTTGCTAAACGAACATAATTAATCACATAAAATTAATTAAATTTTAATTCGCGTCCAAAGAAGCATGAAATAGCTATTAAGGTTCAGCATCAGTCTCTCTATTGACTTGTTTTGAATTTATATTCTTTTCCCCCAAGAGTTTCCGTGTGGAAGAAAGAAAACTTGTGACTTGCATAATTTACGCAATTTCCTCTTAAAACTGAACAACCACCCGCACATGTGAGAAAAAAGAGAAATTTTGAAATCAACAAAAACTTTTCCAGCGCTGTTTACTGTCGTCGACAATGTTGTAAAACATCAGTAAGCATATTTCGCTATTTGTTTGATTCTTCTTGTGCGAGTCATGTATGGTGTTTGCACAAACAAACAGAAAAACAGAAACGAACAACTTCTGCTTCTTCTACAAACAAATCGCTCGTGATGTCGTCAGATAAAAGTTTTCTGGTTGATTTCTGATGTTGTTGTCGTAATTCAACATATTTTTGACTATCAAACATCAAACATAATTATTGATAATGATGCTTGAGATATCTGAAGTTGTCTCTAGACTTTGAGGCGACATCATCTCTGAACCAGAAAGAAAAACAAGAATGCAGGTCATTAGTTAATGTTAATGCTCAGCGCTCTCAAGATAAAGGCCTTAAGAATTATATTCAAACATGCGAGAATTCTATTGAAAGCTATTTTATGCTTCATAATAGACAAATTATAAACTATTAGCAACAACGTTTTGTCAAATTTTGTACCCCTGGCGATGTCCTTTCATTCACTTCGAACAAGGCAACATTGAAAGACCAACAAAACTTGTAAAACTCTATTCAAATAATAATTTATTGTTGACTGATAGTTTCTCTTTCTGTACATGTCCCCTTTATTTCATACAGCAGCTTCAAGAGTATCATAAAATAAATAGAATGGTAATGGTGCTGCGTTAGACACTCATCGTTGCTTCTTTTTTTTACAAGTTTCAGGGCGGAGTTGTAAGATGAGTGGCAAATGGTGTGTGATCACTGATCATAATGGAATATTCATTCGATACACTCAGACATGAAAATTATTACCATCGCTTCTGCTTTCATTGTAACAAATTACAAACGATTTCTAAAGCAATGAAACTGATGTGTTTGCTTTCCAGATTCAAGTCAAAGGAATGATGATTGAAGGGAGAATTAGAACGTTCGTCCCGTTACAACAATCAAGCGTATAAAGGAGATCGCTTGTAATTTTAAATTCGATTATTATTTGACTGACTTTACAAATGTTTTTCGTGCTCATTGGAATGTTTTATTAACTGCATTTCTCCCATGTAGTTTTTTCATTAAATAAAAGAATTTTAAGA